CACTGCACTCCAGTCTGGGCAATAGAGTGAGACTCCAACTCAAAAAAAAAAAAGAGATGACTACCTTAGGCCCACTAACTTCTGTAATTACTTCACCAGAAACCTAACAACCTCCCCTTCACAATAGAGCTTTAAGCAACTTTCTCAAAAAAGGAGCTACTCTAAACTTAAGTTATCAACACACTCTGATTAGCAACCAATCTAAAATTCCCTTTTCCACTGCAAAAGAAGCTAGCTAGCCACTGGAAAATGAGGCACCAGTAAGGACATTTGATGCATAAAAGGTTAAAATATCTTTAAAATTTTAATGCCTCAACTTACAGGTAACATTATAATAATACTCAAATAATCTGTGCTCATGATTTGGTTGCTTTGTATTGTTTTTAAGACATTAGGTCAACACTCTTTTTATAATAATATCATTTTGGCAAAATTCTCCAGCATCCCATTCCTATCATGAGAATGGCAACAAGAAAAGCAAGCACATATTTCTGGAGACTAGATTCGGACACAGTTGATGAAAGACAACTCCAATCTTCCCTTAAAAACAGATCCACTTTTCTGACATATCAGTTCACTTACCTCTCCCATCGCTCTTCCCTCCAGAGCAAGTGCTTGAAAATCATGATTCAGTTCATCCATAGAACGTACCTATTGTTCAGAATAGAGAAGGGAAATCTTCAAGTCAGGAGCTTGAAGTTTACATGCACATTACACACAGCTGAAATCTGTTTCTATGTTTACTTTCAGGTATTGACAAAGACATTAGCAATAATCAAGTGAATGAAAGATTAAACATTCACTTACCTTTAACCAACAGAGTTCAGCAAAGACCCCTGCTTTCTCCCCTCCCCTTCCCTTCACCCCCGCCTTTTATTTTCTTCTCTTTTTTTCTGAGTTGGAATCTCACTCTGTCGCTCAGACTGGAGTGCAGTGGCCGCTCCTGCCCACCGCAGCCTCGACCTATTGGGCTCCTGCAATCCTTCCACCTCAGCCTTCCGAGTAGCTGGAACTACAGGCATGCGCTACCACGTCCGGCTGATTTTTTGATTTATTGTAGAGATGAGGTCTCGCTGCCCAGGCAGGTCTCGAACCCGCAGGCTCAGGCAATCTACTCACCTCAGCTTCCCAAAGGCGTGGGATTACAGGCTGAGCCACCAAGTCTGGCAAGCGATGACATTTTTGAGACAACTGTGTGACCTAAACTTGGCTACAGAGGCCAGGCATGGTGGCTCCACCTGTAATGCCAGTACTCCAGGCTGAGGCAGGAAAATCATTTGAGCCCAGGAGTTCAAGACCAGTCTAGGCAACATAGTGAGAATCCATTTCTACAAAAAAATCAAAACATTAGCTGAGCATGGTGACACACACCTGTAGTCCCAGCTACTCAGGACGCTGACACGAGAGGATCACTTTAAGTTCAGGAGGCTGAGACAGTAAGCTGGGATGTGAACACTGCACTCCAGCCTGGACAACTGAGTGAGACCCTGTCTCACAGGAAAAAAAGAAAAACTGGGCTAATAAGTCAAAAGATCACGGTGCTCCTCCCCAACTGTGAATAGTTATGTATAAATTAGGGAACACATTTGATCCAATTCACTATTTCTTTGGTGGACCTCAGGAAAGCAAACTATTTAACAAAGTGTCCCAAAATTTCTCCATACTAGGAATCCCCAAACCTCAAACCAAGGGAAGAAAAAGTAGCACGTATCACAAGAATCCCCTCAAATCTTACTTATGAAATGTACTCCTACTCACATTAATAATCTCGACATTTATTTACTCATTTCCAAAGTCGTTACTACCAAGGTAATATCAATATCAGGGATGAATGTGAAACAGATTATTGAAAATAATTACAGCCAGGTGCGGTGGCTCAAATCTGTAATCCCAGCACTTTGGGAGGCCAAGGCGAGAGGACTGCCTGAGTCCAGGGGTTCAAGACCACCCTGGGCAACTTGGCAAGACCTTGTCTCAACAATAAATAAAAAAATTAGCCAGGTGTCATAGCGTATGCATGCAGTTCCAGCTACTGAGGCGGAAGGATCGCTGGAGCCCAGCAAGTCGAAGCTGTGGTGGCCGTGAGCTTGCCACTGCACTCCAGCCTGGGCAACAGAATGAGACACCAACTCCAAAAAAAAACAAAAGAAGAAGAAGAAAACAATTAAAATTCAAAACCCTTTGATGTCCACTAGTCCACTGGTCTTCTTAGTTAGAAGCACAAACTAGTTCTGCTGCCTGAGGCTAGAGTCCCTGGCTTATTAAAGAGGAAGGTTCTCCTGTCTATTTGAAAAAGAATGCTGACTCCTGGAAGCCAGAGATTCTCAAATGCCCTCCTCTTATCACCACTGTCTCCCAATGTTGGTCTACAATTTATAGCAGTAGGTAAATGCAATGAAGGTCAAATTAGGATCAAGCAAGAAGAGGGAAGAATATGGAAAGCATGAACCAGAATAAAGTTAAGGAAAATCAGTTTCAGAATTTTATTAACATGCTGGCTATATTTTGTCAGAACTGACACTACATATGAATCCAGTTGCATTAATGCTTCAAATCACAAATTTTTAAAAGGCAGAGTTGATACTATGCTACAAATGATGGATTATGTCACTAAGATATAACAGCTTTGAAACATTCATTAAAAACGACAATTTATAAAATTTAAAATAAAACAGCCCGGCACAGTGGCTCACATCTGTAATCCCAGCACTTTGGAAGGCCAGGTCAAGAGGACTGCTTGAGCCCAGGAGTTCAAAAACAGCCTGGGCAACATAGCAACACCTTTATACTACAAAAACATTAAAAAATAAAAAACTTAGCCAGGCGTGATGGCGTGCATCTGTAGTCCAGCTTCTCAGGAGGCTAAGGCAGAAAGATTGTCTGAGCCCAAGGGGTAGAGATATGGTAAGCCATGTGATGCCATTGCACTTCACTCTGGGTGACATAATAAGACTCTGATTCATTTTAAAAAAAAAAAAGAAAGAAAGAAAGAAAAGAAGCTGGGCTCAGTGGCTCAGCCTGTAATCCCACACCTTTGGGAGGCTCAGGTGAGTGGATTGCCTGAGCTCACGGGTTCGAGACCCACCTGGGCAGCGAGACCTCATCTCTACAATAAATCAAAAAATTAGCTGGGCATGATGACGCGTGCCTGTAGTTCCAGTTACTTGGAAGGCTGAGGCAGAAAGATCGCTTGAGCCCAGCAGGTCGAGGCTGCGGTGGCCGTGAGTGAGCCACTGCACTCCAGTCTGGGCGACAGAGTGAGACTCCCAATTCAAAACAAAGAAAACTAAAATTCAGTTACATGAGCACAAAGAGGCAGAGACAAGGTTTGTAATACTGTGGCAATACAGTTTCAAAATGCCTTGAAAGAAGAGCTGTGATCATCTTACAAGGTATCTACTATATTTAAGTAAGCACACTAAACAGGCTCCTAAACTGTATGTAGTAACCATAAGGGAGAGAAGGAAGGGTAAGTGCAGGATGTTAGCTGGAAACTCTACAAATGTTATATGAAGTGATTCTGAACATTCAGGCCAACGCTAACATTTACAAAGCATGTAAATCAAATGTGCAGAGCTCTGTATTTAGCTCTTTCTGTGGAATCTAATCATACATTTAACTAGACCTAGACATTTCTTGGAAATCCAAAAATCTACAAATTCAGTTTTAACCAAGAATACTGAAATTTCTATTTATATTTCCAAAATAAACTAAGTGGGAGGAGTAAGAGAAGGCAGAGAACATACGTTGTATATATTTATGTAATCACCACAACAATCTCACAGTGATTAATCCCATTTAAGAGATTAGGAGGCCAGGAGCAGTGGCTCAAACCTGTAATCCCAGCACTTTAGGAGGCTGAGGTGAGGGGATTGCCAGAGCCCACGGGTTCGAGAACAGCCTGGGCAACTTGGTGAGACCTTATCTCAACAATAAATCAAAAAATTAGCCTGGCATGGTAGTGCAAGTGCCTATAGTTCAGGCTACTTGGAAGGCTGAGGCAGAAGGATCGCCTGAGCCCCGCAGATCGACTCTGGGGTGGCTGTGAGCGTGCCACTGCACTCCAACCAGGGTGACACAGTAAGACCCCAAAAAAAAAAAAAGAAAGAGATTAGGACCAAGAGAGCATGCTCATCAAAGGGTGTAAGAAGCTTGACACAGTGGCTCAAGCCTGAAATTCCAGAACTTTGAAAGGCAGAGGCAAGAAGACTGCCTAGGCTCAGGTATTTGAGATCAGCGTGGGCAACTTGGCAAGACCTCATCTCTACAATAAATCAAATAAATCAAAAAATTAGCCGGGCGTGGTAGCACCCACCTATAATTCCAGCTACTTGGAAGGCTGAGGCAGAAGGATCGCCGGAGCCCAGCAGGTCGAGGCTGCAGTGGCCAGGAGCGGCCACTGCACTCCAGTCTGGGTGACAGAGTGAGACTCCAACTCAAAAAAAAAAAGAAAAAGAAAAAGAAACTCACTTTCTGGAGTTTTCTTTGCTAGCCCAGAAACTACATTTTAGTTCATTCACCCACAGTTGACTAGAACTGATAAACCAAGTCATTCTCACAAGTGTTTTAACTATTCTAGAATTGCTTATAATGGGAATTGTATCTCATATGGTCACTGCCACCAGGTAGATCCTCCAGACAAAATTCTTCCTAGGAAATAAAACTACTACTGAGAAGAAGATGCTCAGGAATGAAGACAAATCAAAAAATGAAGACACAGATTGTAAGAAATATTTTAGGCTAGTAACAAAACTTTTCCGTGATAAAGAAGAAAAGCTGGCTGTCAGTTATAATTAGAGTAAATGATCCCATCAAGACAGAATAATCCTCTCAAGTTCTGGTGCTTTGCACCTCTCCTTTCTCCGGAAATCAATTTGAGTGCCAGGTTAGTGTTAATTTCTGGTACTACTTACTAATTCCTTCTTCGCCTTTGCTAGAAGATTCTAAAACTCCTTCCCTCCCTTCAACTAACTGACCATATCTATCTATCTCCTTTGGCTTCACAAAACTATTTCCTACTTTTCTCTTTGGGTCACTTGACAATAAAGTGTAGCTTCCTCATCCAATTCAAAGATTTCTCTGCTGCTGCCCCTTCCAATAAAGACATTTCCCGGCCGGGCTTGGTGGCTCAGCCTGTAATCCCAGCACTGTAGGAGGCTGAGGTAAGTGGATTACCTGAGCCGGCAGGTTCGAGACCAGCCCGGGCAACTTGGCAAGACCTCATCTCTACAATAAATAAAAAATTAGCCGGGCGTGGTAGCGCG